TAGTGAACAATGTTACATAAAGAGTAAAGATAAAGATAAATCAAGAGACATGAAATTCGAAACAAAATTGACACAAGTTATGGAAAAATATAAAAATTTTATATAGGAAACATAGAAAAAGAATAAATGGATTAATAATAAAATAAATGATGATTAGCTGTATTGGAAAAATAGAAGGATTAAATTATTATTATTTTGGATTTCTTTTTAGATCAACTACTCAGAACACGGTTTTGTGATAAGTAACTTCCTTGTTACGGATTTTTAATAAAACGTTTTTGCCAGATTTTTTTTTGACCTCGTATGGATCTTTAAATTCAGGACTAAGTTTTTTATTTAGATTTCCTCTTGCTAATTTTCGACTGATTTGAATCTTCTCTTTTTCATTAGACGATAGGTGAACTTTACTTAGTAAAAATAGCTTTACCTCAGGAATACTCTCTTCGTGAAAATCGGTTGACATAAGAATGGATGCTTTCTTCCTAGATTTCTTGGTACTGGAATTCCATTTCCGCTTTTTAGTATGCTTCCCAAAATTATGCTTGTGAATTTTTTTAGTAGCTCCTATATTTTTATTTGAAATTTTTGTTTTCTTTTGAATTTTAGCCTTAGGATTATTTTTAAGGTTTGAATTCCCCCCTCCTCCTCCCAAGTTTCCTTCATCCTCAATTCTTTATGGCAAACATAACAATACGTGATAAAACATAAAACATAAAAAAAAAAAAAAAGAAAGGAAGGAAGGAAGGAAGACCAAAAAGGAAATGTCCAAATTTATTTTGACCGTTATTTCCAAATCGTACCTTAAACAAACGAACGATAGATCGATCGAGACAATCGGAATGTTTAAAAAAATAAGTGTATATATCAAAGATTATTTTGGTGTTAAATATGCTCTTTATTTTGCTTGGTTAGGATTTTATACTCACATGCTAATACCTGCCAGTATTGTTGGACTTATTTGTTTTTTTTACGGGTGGATCACTCTAAATTACAACACTTTGAGGTAATTGTTTAAAAAAAGAATTATCAATTTTGAGTTTTTATTTACAAACTTTAATTTTCTGCGAATTATTTTTAATCAATTTAAAAATGAGGATAGATAAGAAAATGAATTTTATCACAATTTTAAAATTAAAAATGATTGAAATGAATTCGTTTACTTTTCAGCCAAGATATTTGCAAATCTGATGATCTTATTATGTGTCCTCTATGTGATGAAACTTGCGACTATTGGAAACTAACAGAAACTTGTACTTTTGCTAAACTCGAATATCTTT